TTAAACTTATTTATAATATCTATGAATATCTATGACTGTAGATTTTGAGATATTTGTAGGTTTAGCAATCAAGCGATATCAATTTGATGGATTTTTGCAAAAAAATTCACGACATTTTTATGCACCTCAATTTGTTTCCAAAACATTTTGCAAATCATTGATTTGTAAACAAAATTTTATCAACACAGTTAAAGATAAGGAAGTAACGTTTAATTAAAAAAGTAAAAGAAATAAAAAGCATTTGTGGCTTTAGAAAAATCTCAATCTAAAGTTGACCGGATTTTTCCGTGTCCATCCTATATGCTCTATCTTATAACATAATTATAACCTTTTGAATATGATGCTTTTTTAGTTTAATAGGAAACCTAAAAAATAACGCAAGTTACATATTAAATTAAAAAAATAAAATAAAAAATAAAATAATGCTGAATGAAGAAGTGTACATTTATAATATATAGAAGATTTAAGTACACAATTACACTAATTTCTTTTTTTCTGATTTACATTATTTAACTTATAATGACTAAGGTGTATGGTTTTAACTTTTCCCTTAATGAATATACTCAGTTTTTCCTTAAACGATATAATTAGTGTCTTAATATATTTGATGTGATTTTGGAATATGTATTTAATTTTATGCATATAATATAATATACACATGGTTATAATTTAATGGTAAAACACATTAACTGCATTAAGAGTTGGCTTTAAAACTTAAGTCTAAAGTTTTAGGACTGTATCTTTATTGAAAATATCTCCAATCAAAAAATTTAAGTAAATGTGACAAATTAGGATGTGGAAAGCAAAAATTTGAAAAAATGAATGCGAGTTTAATTAACCTAGTAAAATTAACATTGGATACCCAAAAAAGTTAGAAAAAAATTGAAAAAAAATCAAAAGTGCATAAATCATTAATTAAAAAAACCCTTATAAGATATTGTTATACAGAAAATCATTGAAGTTTATGAACCTGAAGAGTTTACAAGTGTATGTCCAGAAAGAAAAGTTGATTGACAGTTAACAGTAGTAGTAGTCACTACTTAAGGGCCATGTAATATATTATAAAGACTTAATGAATGTATATGTTTGTAATATAATATAGATTCAAAGCCGTATGTGTCATCTATGTTCTAACTGCCCTGGTAAACTACATTTGAAGTCATACTTGGAAAATGAGTTTTAAAAGAATAATTTTGATTTTGACTATCAGATCACATACAAAAACAGTTCAAGCAAACATAATTAAGTTTATCAATACTCTAAGTAAAACTTATGATCTTTGTCACATTTACTTTATCACAGAAGCACAATCGTTCTACTTATGAATCGCAAAAATCACAATAAATCAACACACCTGTGTTATTTTTATAGATTTTGCAGAGAACAATTTTTTTTTGTGCATGATGTTGTTTAAGGGTTCTACCATAAAGCCGATCAAGCTACCTTACATCCATTTGCTGTTTAATACAAAGATAAAAAATTCCAACTCAAATGTAAATGTTATTGCAAATTTGCTAATGCAAATGTAAATTTTACTTCCTATGGTCAAAATCAAACTACCCACAGTCAATAAAATGAATACTTCAGTAACTGTTTTGCGTCACAGTAAAAACGTTACAAATGTCTAAAATATTAAACTTAATGTACAACCTTAAAGATAACATTATAAATGCTGAGCATCACTTGTCCCATGGCAAAAGCCTATGTAGTGGAACAAGAGGAACTATAAAAAATGAAGCCGCAAAAGCGAGTCTACGAACAACATTTACAAATCAGATTTCTGCACCACATAAACTGTTTACATTGGTGTTAGAAGATACATTTTTTATCAAATGATGATATTGATAGCTATAAAACTTATTTTCACCTCCAAAAACGATAAATAAAGATGTGAGCACAATCCCAAGCATGGCAGTTTTGTACCATGTAAAGAGAAATATTTTTTACAGAGAATCTCTAGCAATCCTCTTTAGGGATGGCAAAAATCCCGGAAATTTTCAATCCCGGAGTTTTGGGATTGAGAAATTTGTCCCCGGGAAATCCCGGGATTAAATAGAAAAAACGCAGTTGAATACTTTTTAAGTACTTATCAAACACTTAAAAATGATTAGTTTAAAGATAATATAAATAAAATATTTAATACATTAATGAACCTAAAAATAAGTTAAAAACATGTTTTAACTTAATTTTGTTATATTAAAACTTATCTGAGACTTTTAAAAATTAATGAACCTAAGTACTTTAAATTATAAAACAATACCTTAAAATGGTAACACAGTATATATAAAAATTTTAATTGAAAAATAATATAAATACGCATGACTTCATTAATTAAACGGAAGCTGAGAAAATTTTGTAATTTAATAAACCTTCTGTTTTTTGATAACTTTATTGATTTAGGGATCGTCCATAAAGTACGTACACTCAGAGGGGAAGAGGGGTCTGCAAATGACGTATATAAGATTGGAGGGCAGTGGATCAATTATAAAAGAAAGAAGACACTAAATTAAAAAAATATCATAAAATGTTAGATAAATAAGTTAAAAGTGTAGGTGCCTTTAGGGAGTTAGAGGGTACTCAAAAAAGCGTATTGCAAAATGCGGGGGGGGGGGGGGGTTAGTTGTAGAAAAAAAAGCGTACGTACTTTATGGACGACCCTATAGACCCCTAAAACAGCTTTAAAAATACTTTCGTAAATCACGCACGTATTTGAAATTAAAATTAATGGAAATAAAAATAGAATTTGAATCGCTCACACGTTTGAAGTTAAAATGAATGAATATAAAAGTGAAGCTAAAATCGCGCACACTTTTAGAAGTAGAAAATTCAAAATTAAACTAAGGTATACCTTCTTTTAAAAACTTCTATTAAAAACACTTGCTCTTTCTATATATATATATATATATATATATATATATATATATATATATATATATATATATATATATATATATATTGATTTTTTTTTTTTGCAGACGTGCAATAATGATTTGAGTTTTAATCTTTAATGAAATACAGAAAGACAGAGTTTTAAAAGGAAAACATTGCAAAGAGAATAAATAGTTAAACGACCAAACAGCTACAATACCAAAGACGATGTAGAAATTACTTAACTACAATTATAAGATTCCCGGTGGGAAATCGGCTAGCGAATAGCTATAATCGTAACGATAAAGACAGCGATTTGGCCATAAGAATCGCTAGCTTTTTTAAGTTAGTGAAAAGCTATCGATATTTGTAAAGATAAAGACAGACATTTGGTTAAGAGGACAGCCAGCTTAATTAGCTAAAGACCCAGTGGCTATTGTAGCTAGCGTCATATCGTAATAAAGTCGTTGTCTATCAACCAGCTATAGCTTTGTATATATTTTTTAGCTAGCTACAAAGCTACAATATGTAGCTAGCGACACATTGTTACAAAAACGCAATGTTTAAAGTTCGATTATTCTCATAATTATAATAGACACTAAAAGTCGAATTTTTAAGATGCTAAAGACTTAAATTAAATTAAATAGGAAAAAAAAAATCGCTAGAAAATTGCTATAAAGCTAGCTTGTCGTTAGCTAGTCGCTAGCTCATTTCCCACCGGGTTAAACTTTATCCCGGGATTTTGGGATGAACAAATTGTAAAAAATCCTGATTTCGGGATCCCGGGATTGCCATCCCTAATCTTGTTTATGATATCCATTTTCTAAATAATGTTAACATGGTACAAAAAAATCCTTCAAATTTTAAAACAGATAAATACATTGCATGTTAATGAAAACTGAGATGTTTATGTGAAGCATAAAAACAAATTTAAATTTGAAATATGTAATTAATACACAATCAAATAAATTTTTGTCCATTTGACAAAGTAATCTTGCTAAAAGTGATTATGAAGGTATTATGAGTTATGTAATTTGGAGATAAAGAAATTAGTGTACTTGTGCACATTTCTTTTTTCAGCATTATTTTAATTTTATTTTTATTTTTTTGCAATATAATGTAACTTGAATTATTTTTTAAATCTCCTTTTAAACTAAAAAATCACACTCAAAAGACTAAATTTATGTTGTAAGATTCAGCAGAGGTCTTTAAACTTTTTTTGGTGATTGTTTATAAATAGAACTTCCACATTAAAAAAGTTTTATAAGTTATTTTAACTGTTTACACTACTTTCTATGCCTGCAAAACAAGTGTAATTTATCATATTTTTTAAAAAAAAGTGATACTCTCACAGGCTGCTGCAATTTTTAAACTAACTTTTAACACATAATTTTGAATTTTACCACAAGTGGTTAACAAAAAATCGGTACTGCCTGTAAGTAGGTATTGAGCTGCAGCACATTAAAGTTTCCATAACTTTTCCTAACATTGCGTTATTTAGCAACTTTTTTTTGCTAATTAACGCAATTTAATGAACAATAATTCAAAAATTGTTATATTTTTAACTAATAAATGCAAAAATGAATTATTTGGGTGAAAAACTTTAGGATTGTATTTTTTTCATAAAATCTGTGGGTGGTAAAAATTTGAATCAAATCTGAAGTGATACTCTGGGGCACTTTCATAAAACTAGGTGATTTCATATGTAAATAACCCATTAAACAAAATGATATCAATTTGTTTAAAATTAATGATCATGTAACATTTATTTAAAAAATCCTTCAACTGTTTTGTTACAAAAAATCCTTCAACTGTTATGGCTATGAACAAAAAAAGAAATGTTGTAAACATCACTATTACTTATCATTGTTGTAAATATCACTATCACTTATCACTGTTGTAAGCATCACTATCACTTATCATTGTTGTAAACATCACTATCACTTTTCACTGTTGTAAATATCACTATAACTTTTCACTGTTGTAAGCATCACTATCACTTATCATTGTTCTAAATATCACTATCACTTATTACTGTTGTAAACGAACAAAGTTAATATTTGACCAGTCAGTAGATTAGGTAAACATTGACAAATCCTAAAAATACTTTATTTTATTAAATAAAATTCCTCTACTATTTTATTAATATATTCTTATCATATATACATATATTTATTCATACCTTTTTTAATATAGTTTTTAAAGATTTATAAATGTTTTTTTTTTTTTTTTTTTAATTAAAAGTTTTTTTTTTATAAAGAATGCTACCATATTTGACATTAATACAAAATAAATCTTCAATTTTCTTTCATTTTTGCAATATCTAATTGTGTATAAAACTAATCTTCATTTTCACAAGGTGAATTAGTTTTTGATTTTCTACGAAAAAAAAAAATGTTCACAAATACTTGGCCGCTTTGAATGACATTGACTTTTACGTAGGTTATTCTTCATTCTTTGTTTTGTAATAATATCTTCTAGTTCGCTTATTTTTTCTACAATATAAAAGACGTGTCCCTGACTTTCAACTTTAGAAGAAATTTCACTTTCGGCTATCTTTGAGATACCACCGTTTTTTAACAACTTTTTAAATATTTTGTTGTTGTTTTCAGTGTTTTTTAATGTATTCTCCTTTTGTTTGAGCAGTAGCAAAATATTGAAAACTACAAGGATAATTATAACAGCTATCGATAAAAGTTGAGAGCAGCACAGAAGCATAAAGAACATCCACCAGTCCTTAAAGTCACAAAAATATTTTAGTTACGAAATCTTAGAGAATCTAAAAATTCCTATAAATATTTTATCTTATTTGATACATAAAGGCTATCAGGCCGGGTGAATAAAATAATTGCTTTTACTCAATTTGTTCAGCTTTACGTGAATAAAAATTTTATTACAAACTAATATTTATTGGTGAAAAACATTTTTTTTAGATCATTTTTATACTTTTTAGGGTTTTTCACAACATTTTTTTTTTTGCCAATTTTTAAATAAAATGTTTTTTTTTTTTAAAATCTCTGTAAAAAAACGCTTTTTTTGAGACCCAGGTTGACATACTTTTAAAGAAGTTTTTTTTGACAATTTTAGGGACTTAACCCCAAATAATTGGGATTTGAACCCTAATATCTTTAAAACTTGAAGATATAAAAAAAAAAGTATTGCATATTTGAAATCAGAATGAGAGATATTATAAGATAAATATATTGAATGCAAAAAAAAAAGTAAAAAAAATTTGTTTACCTGTGTTACTCAACGTTTTTGGAGTAAGTTGCTTTACGTGAATAAAATTTACCAATTTACTCAAATTTGTATTCGCGCTTAGTAAAAACAGTTGCTTTTTTTTTATTCACCCGGCCTAACTAAGATACTAATGTTTTGTATGCTTTAGAACTGTAAATGGCAATTTAAAAATAAAAATTTAAATAGCAAATAAAAAGTTTATTAAATAAAGTTGAAAACTCACCATAATGAAAAAAAATTACTATCTAAATATTATTAATATCTAATTCACCATTTAAATATTATTAAACATTAAACAATAGATTGGAGTATTAATTTTAAATTAATATTTCAATTTAACGTTTAACGTTGAACGTTGCCTACGTCAATCTTACGTAGTTTTTTAGTTTTTCTGAACGCGTTTCTTTTAATTAGTAATTTTTGCACTCAGTTACAGTTTAAAACGATAGTTATAAAGATTAGGATTTGTTTTCCGGGGGAGTGTATTGACGTCAAATTTAACTGAAATTTTTATTTTGATTTTTTTTATTATTATATTTTATTATATTATTATAATATTTTATTATTATTATATTTTATATATTTATATTTTTTATATTTTATATTTATATTATATATTAATTATTATTTATTTTATATTTTATTATTATTATATTTTTTTATTATTATATTTTTTATTTTTATTATATTTTATTATTTAATTTTTATTTTTATTTTAACTGAATATTTTATTTTCGATAAAAATACAGAAAGAATAAAAGGAAAAGATTCCAAAAAGAATAAATCTCAAATGACATTTTTGTCCCTTTAATTTATAACACTTACTTTTTTTAACGGCTATTGTTAGTGAGCAGAAACTAGTTAACAAAAATCAATCAAAAAGAACACAAAAAAACTAATTTCTAAAGGAATAGTTTTAAAGGAAATAATTGAGTGTAATAATACTTTTTAAATGATTGCGTTAATATTAAAATTTAAGGTAATATATAATATTATTTAGATATTTGCTTTTTTGGTAGGTCTTTGCAAATGGCTGACGCGTTTTATTAATGGTAAAAGATAAAGAATAAAGAAAACTCAAATTAAAAATATAAAGTAAATAATATTTATCTTAAATAATAGTTAATTAAATATAAATATTTAATTAACTGTTTTATTTAAGTTCACACAAACAAAATAAAACTGATTTAAAGTATATACAAACATAATAAAATTTTATTGTTCACACAAACAAAATTTATTGTTCACACAAATAAAATTTTATTGTTCACACAAACAAAATAAAACTGATTTAAAGTATATACAAACATAATAAAATTTTATTGTTCACACAAACAAAATTTATTGTTCACACAAATAAAATTTTATTGTTCACACAAACAAAATAAAACTGATTTAAAGTATATACAAACATAATAAAAAAATATTAAAAAAAAAGAATGAAAAAATTAAATAAAGTGTAAGAAAAAGAAAACGGATAATAAAAAATAAAAGAAAAAAAAAGTACTTCAAATTTAAAAAAAAAAGAAAAAAAAAAAAAAAAATAGAAACAAAAAAATAAATTTTATTTATAATTTATTACTAATATATATATTTTTTGTAACTATTATTATATATTTGTTATAATATATTTTTTATATATTTATCATAATATATTTTTTATAATTATTACTAGATACTTATTATAATTATTTTTTTTATTATTACTATATAAGTTTATTTTTGTTACTATATAGATTAAAATAATATCATTATAAATATTATTTAATATTACTTTAGTTTAAGTATTATTATTTTTATTGTCTTTATAATTAAACAAAAGTATAATTTATTGTTTATTAATTGACAGATAATCTACTATTATATTGCAATATCTAATTGTGTATAAAACTAATCTTCATTTTCACAAGGTGAATTAGTTTTTGATTTTATATATTTATCATAATATATTTTTTATAATTATTACTAGATACTTATTATAATTATTTTTTTTATTATTACTATATAAATTTATTTTTGTTACTATATAGATTAAAATAATATCATTATAAATATTATTTTATATTACTTTAGTTTAAGTATTATTATTTTTATTGTCTTTATAATTAAACAAAAGTATAGTTTATTGTTTATTAATTGACAGATAATCTACTATTATATTATTAACTACTATATTATTCAGTCGTTAGCCCAAAACACTGACAAGCCTTTCAAATAGCAAATGAATATGACCAAGCACTAAAAAATAACGGTATCAAATATCAGATCAAATAAATATGGTTCAACCTCCCATTTAATAACATGTCTCCACAAATGTTGCTAAAATATTTTTAAATTTATCAGAAAAAAAGCTTTCCTAAAAAAACACACAAAGCTTCACAAAGTCTTTAACAAAAACACTGTAAAGGTAAGCAATAAAAATATCGAAAAAAATTATAAAAAACCACAACAAAAAAATTATATTTCCTAACAATTGAAAATAATGACCCAAAATGCATTTGTCGAAATAAAACAGAATGAGCCCTGAATGAAAGTGCAAACCCACAAACATTGTATACAAATGCAACCTCGCAGCTAAAAACCAACTTAACAAGTTTATATTGGATTAACGTAAGGTGAGTCGAAAACCAAATGTAACAACCACAAATTATCGTCCAATAATGTTAAATACAAAAATTTCACTGCCGTATCCAAGGACGTCGGAAATTTGAAAAATAATTTTGACGAACCCCCTAACATGGTTTATTCTGAAATCTGTACACCTTTACTCAAATATTTCCAAAAGGTGCCCACTTATTCTCTATGAGAAATTTGCTATTATATCATATCAAAACCTGAGTAACTGCTAAATAAAAGAACCAAAATTATATTAAAGACATGAAAATATATTCTTATTAAAAAATTACAAAGCTCGTTACAAACCTAACTAATAACTAATATAACTATATTACTCTACTTCATATCTCTAGGCTATCTAATACTTTACTCACATACACTGCTATTGTGATATATTTCTTAATATTATTTATACTTTTATATTAGTTTTTAATTTTATATTTTTTTAGTATATAAATAATGCACATTATCACATAAACGAATATTTTAAACAAGCATTAAAACATATAACTATTTCACAACTATTAGCTAACTAAAAACAAGTAATAATAACATTAACCTAACTACTGAGCAATTTCCGTCCCGTAACGTACTAAAATACAAATATAAACCGTAACGTCCACTAAACAAATCGTAGCAAACTTAAATTTTTATTACTTGCCTGAAGATTGTGGTAAACATGAAACTCAGAGTTGCAATATTAAATTATATTATAAACATTAGCATTTAGCTAATTCCCGGTATTACGGGTAGCAACAACATATACACTATATAGCTCTAGTTTATCTATTGAGCTTTCTTTTAACTATACAATATTAGTGACGTTAAAATAAAATGGTTCTATCTTCCTTTTGTACTGTTAAGAGAAATTAACAAAACTTGTTAAACTCTCTTAAAATAAAAAAAAAAAAAAATGTAGAAAATTTGCTAAAATCGTTAAATTAAAATATCAAAATATCAAATTTGTTATATTTATTGCTTAGAATACACATTATTTATTCTTTATTAAGTAATATAAATTAGTATAAGGTAAAAAAGCACTTCGGTAGATAAGAATAATAAGTTTCTGTCTTCAAATTTTCATGGAAAAAAAATTTAATTTTCAATTTTTAATTATGATATTGATTTTGTGTTCAAAATTATATAACTTTAATATATTAATCTTTTTATTATTATTTATATAATTTTAAAAATTGTTAGTTTTTGTTTTTTCATTCACAATTTAAACCTTATTTTAATATAGTTGGAATTAAAATTAATTTGTGAAGTAATTTTAAAAATTATAGAATTAATAATTTAAGATTAATTATAAAACATAAATAACATATATTTTAACAATATAAACAATAACAACTGTAAAACATTTAAATAATTAAAAACCGAAAGATAAATTCTCACAACGTTAAAAACTGGAGATAGAACCCTATTATTCTAACGTCACGATATAAAGATATTTTCAATCGGTTTTATCTACCATCGTCCATACATGTCAATTCATAATTTTAATCAAAATATTCTAATTAATTTATTGGAAAAACTTACTAAAAAAAATAAAATGTTGTGTTAATGGGAAACTGCAACATTAATCTTTTAATTATGAAAACTCGGCTGAAATTTTTCATTAATAATATGTATTAAAATGCTTTTTTTCCTTACATTTCATTGCAAACGAGTGTCAATTTATATTCAAAAACTTTTATCGTTTTATATTTTCATTAATCTTCACTCTAACAATATTATATCAGGTAGCCTATTAATTTCTCAGATCATTTAGCACAACTTGTACAAATCCCTAGTTTTCACTCCAAATATATAACAGGAAAGATATACAGAAGGTGTTATTAAAGGTTCAACCATGATGCTTTTCTAGATGATGTTAAAAGTTTTCCTTAGCCTTAATTAATGGAAGCTAATCAATCTGTTAAACTATTTATGCAAAATTTTGAAAATAATCTTTATATACATGCTCCATTAAACTTCTTACAAAAAGGCAAATTAAATCTAAGAGTAAGCTGTGAATAATTAAATCTAAGAGTAAGCTGTGGATAATTCATTTTGAAGTCAACTAAAATAAAAGATAAACTGCACACAATATTTTTTATATATATATTATTTTTTATGTATAGACCTAACAGTCTTCAGACTTCAATTCTTAAACTATCATTAAAAATTATCTGAATTAATTCTAAAATGAATAAAAACTCATTTAAAAAAGGGATTTTTCCTGACATTTTTAAGATAAGATGCCAATATTATTCCAATCCACAAAAATGGGTCAAAGCTTGAACCAATTCAGTTACAGACTTATTTCTTTGTTATCTGACATCGGAAAAATATCTGAGAAACTATGCACAAAAAGACTGTACTTTTTTGCGCATAATTTTCAACTTTTGTGACACCTTTTTTGATACCTTAAATTGTTTTCATAAATTACAATGCGGATTTAGAGGTAACCATTCTACTACACATGCGCTAAAATGGCGGCCGTGGCGCAGTGATTAGAGTGCTTGCTTTATAAGCAGGAGATCCAGGTTCGAAGCTTTGGACAATTTTTGCGTCACGGTAAGGAAGGAGGCGTGAACTTCCTGGTTAAATGCACTTCCGACTTTCGGACTTCTTAAATAAGAAGTAAAGCACCTAATAAGAAATAAAAAAATAAAAAAGTGATTTTACATAAACTTTGCAAAATGCTTTTAATAAAATTAAGTTTGTTTGTGGTGTTTTCCTCGACCTGCAAAAAGCATTCGACTCAATGAATTACGATTTTCTTCTCGCCAAATTATCGGGTGGACACGGAAAAATCCAGTCAACTTTAAATTGCGATTTCTCTAAAACCATAAATGCTTTTTATTTCAATTTTTTTATTATTAAATGTGTTTACATAAATTAGCCATCATTTTACTGATTTTTTCTTTTTTCACCATATTGGTGGCATTAATCCATTAATCTTCAATCTTGCGCTCTTCAGGACGATTAGGAGGAAGTCTTAAGTCTTTTTTGGAGGCATTCTTTGATGTAGAGATTGGCAGTCAAGGTCTTTTTAGTGACAAAATAAGAGGACTTCATACCACAGCTACAAATTGCTTGCCACACAAGGAACTTGGATGCAAATTTTTCTCGTCGAATATACTTAAATTGATCATTGACAGGTTTATCTTTGTTTTCATAGTAAAACTGTTGACCAGGAAGTTGTGAAAAATCCACCTTGCAATATGTTTCGTCGTCTTCAATTACGCTCATATTTTTATCCGCCATTATTTTAACCAACTTCTTTGCGCGTCAAACTCCTTTAAATTAATTTTAACTTCTCTTATATGTATTTTTTTTTTTAATGAAATGCTTTAATTCCAGCATTTTTAAGTACTTTTTTGATATAAGAACAAGAAGTCTTGAATTTTCTTGCTAGATCTCGCTGTGACTGGTTTGGATTTCTTGCTATTGAACGTAAAATCGACTTTACCTTTTTGGATTTATGGAAAGTTTTTTTCTTCCACTTCCAAATTTTCTTTAGAAGCTTTGAGTATAGTCTTAATCTTGTTTATAATATCTACGACTGTAGATTTTGGGACATTTGTGCGTTTAGCAATCAAGCGATAGGAAGTCGATGGGTTTGGCAAAAAAAATACCCAACTTTTTTATGCACCTCAATTTGTTTGAAAACATTTTGCAAATCATTAATTTGTAAACAAAAATTTATCAACATATTTATGATAAGGAAAAAAGGTTTAATTGGAAAAAAAAAAAAAAAAGCATTTGTGGTTTTGGAGAAATTTCAATTTAAAGTTGACCGGATTTTTCCGTGTCCGCCCGATACAATACTATGGGAATTCCATTTATATAATTTAAATCTTATTTAAATAATAGACTTTAATACATTACAGTTAAGGAAACATCTTTATTAACCAAAACTTTCATTTCGGAAGTCTCTAAAGGGTCAATATCAGGGTCTCTGCTTTTCTTTGTATACAAGCTGTATAAAAGCTCTGCTTTTCCTTGTATATTGCATGTTCTACATATTTGTCGATGTATGAAAAATGAAGGATTAAGGTTTTGCTTGTAACATAATATGTATTTATAAACTATTTATATTATAAACAACCATTAAAACATCATTTTATGCGCTGTAAAAAAAAGTTCTGAGGGATTTTTCCGGGAGGAGGAGGGGGGGGATATTTTCTCAAGGGGATTTTTTCCAGGGGAATTTTCTCCTGCTACCGTTCGAACAGTTTTAATAGGAACGTCGAACGAATAAAGATTAATACTTTTTTTTATTATATTAATACTTCGAAAAAACATTTTGTTTTTTCGAAAAAGTATTAATCTTTATTCGTAAAAAAAAAGTTTTGCCTTTTTGATCTCAAAAATTTGCTTACGAATGTCGCTTTTGATTTTAGTAGCTTTTACGTTCAAAAATTAATTAGGCGTCAAAACATAATTTTAAAATGATATCAAAACGCTTTAATGAAATTCGTTATTATCAATTATAAAGTTTATAATTGATAATAACGAATTTCATTAAAGCGTTTATAATATAAACAAGTATTTTTTTAAATTAAAAAAAAAAAAGAGTTTCAAGGAAACTAAATACATTAATTTGTTTATATATGTATATATATATATATATATATATACATATATATATATTTATTATATATATATATATATATATATATATATATATATATATATATATATTATATATATATATATATATATATATATATATATATATATATATATATATATATATATATATATATATATATATATATATATATATATATATATATATATATATATATATATAGTGCTTAGAAGCATCCTTTAAGGAGTAATAAAACAGTACCTAGATTCCTAGATTTTTTTCTACTCTTTAATTTATTCTTAAAATGAATTAAAAATGAGATAACTAAATAAAAAAAAGGTTATAAGAAAAAATCGGTAAAGCTACAGTTACGCGGCCTAAAATAATTATATTTTTGCCAGGGGGTTTTGCTACATCGACTATCTTATAGCCTGACTCGCAACGGAGTGCTGCTACATCGACTGACAAATAGCCTAACTCGCAAGGGAGTGCTGCTACATCGACTGAGGGTTTGGCATGGGGAAGCTATCTTTTTTCATTTATTATATCGATGTAGCAAAACCCCCTGGCAAAAATATAACTATTTTAGGCCGCGTAACTGTAGGATTACCAAAAAATCTACCTAAAGAAAATCCCCCTGAAATAATCCCCCAAGGAAAATCCCCCCGAAAAAAATCCTTCAGGAAAAAATATCTCCCCAAAAAAATGCTTGGTTTCAAATTAAAAAAAAAAGTATATCAGAGCTTTTGTTTGTCAAGTATTTAGCTAAAGTCAAATAAATTGCAGCGTTAAAAAACAGAATAAATGAAATTAAAGATAAAATTAAATGAAAACAACTCTATTTTATTGTTCTATTTTGTTGTCTTTTTATTTACATTATTGCAACTGTCAATTATATACTAAATTTACATAATTTAAATATTTGTTATTATTTTATCTTTTAGTTTTAGTAGAGTTATTTCCTATCTAAAATTATAAAAATTATGGCTACAAATTATGGAAAAAGTACATTTAATGAGGATGAGAATTTTGAAGATATATCTGATACTCCAGAACTGGCAAGATTGAAGCAGCAAAAAGAATTATATGAACAGAGAATGATTGATAGCTCTTTTCGCTCTCTCCGATTAATCAATGAGTCACAAGCTACTGCATTAGAAACTGCAGCTGAATTAGAGTCACAGCGTTTACAACTTGAGCGAACTCACAAAAATCTTAATAAAATGGATGCAGATTTAAACCAATCTGATCGTCATATAAACTCTATAAAAAGTATTTGGGGTTCTGTTGAAAATTGGTTTAAAAAGCCTGCTAATTTAACAAAATCAAATATAGTTCCAGCAAAAATTAGTACTCTTAGTCAAAATGTTAAAAATGAAAACGCTGAAATAAAAAACAACTTAAATGTAATAGATAAAAAAGTTGATTTATCATGGAGTAATGAGGTATCAATTAAAAATCAAAAACAATCCACGAATCAGATTGTTGATGAAAATCTTGATCAAATGTTGTCTGGTTTGAAAATGTTAAAATCACAGGCACTGGCTTTAGGTACAGAAATTGATTATCAAAATGATTTAATCGCTGACATTCATGTAAAAGCTGAAAAAGTTGATCAAAGAGTTGATCAACAAAACCTAAAAATTCAGAAAATATTGAGATAAGAATATTTAAAGATATCAAAATAAAATAACGAGTTTACTTTTATGAAATTTTTGTACACTAAAGTATTATTTTTTATAAGGTTAATGATGTTGTAATTTATACTTTTGCTTTGTTTTACTAAGAAATTTAAAAATATAAAAAAAATAAAATTATTTATAATTATTTCTAATTAAAATATATGCATATAATAATAACAATAACAATAACAACAACAACAATAACAATAATAGCAATAATAATAATAATAACAATAATAATAATAATAATAATAATAATAATAATAATAATAATAATAATAATAATAATAATAATAATAATAATAACAACTATATTGATAATGTTAAAATGTGTTCTATTTGCTAGTGATGTACCAATAGAAAAGGCTGGTTGTGGGTAATAATAGGGTTTAATGTATGTATACAGGGCCTATTCTACGGAAAAAAATTTGGGTATGGTACCCTCTCGTTCCGGTGAACTTTATTGGAAAATCCAAGTTATTTTTGCGAAAAAAATCAATATTTGCCGTAAAAAAGGAAAAAAAAAAAGGTCCTCAAATTTTAATTTGGGTTTTGCCCAAATTGGCGCTCACACATGGACGACGCTGTTGAAAACAGTCTAGAATAGCCCCTAGTATATAAGGTAATATATTAATATTAGGTATGTAATTTGCACATATAAGTTGCACTTATGCACCAGTAGTGGTCCATTGTTGATGCATCAGCCAATGCAGATTCATAGGCTTAACTATTGGCTGATTAATCAACTGATTATCGCCCGATAGTAAGCCAACTAGTTGATCATGGCTGATGCATTGACATTGGTTAATAGCCAAACCATTACCAGTACATAGGCGCAACTTATATATGCAAGTTACATACCTAATATTAACATACTATATTTATATACATACATTAAAATCTATTATTAGCCACAATCAGCCTTTTTCATCTGTACATCACTATTTTCCGAACACTACACAGTAAAATCAAGTCTACTACTTCCACATTGAATATCACTGTTTGACACACAGCTTTTAACATCAAACTAACATCAAACTTTTAACATCAAACTTTTTTGCCAAATTTTATATTCAGACTTCATATATTCAATTTTACATTTTTTTATAATTTAACTTTGCAGATATCTAGGTTTAAAAAGTTTTTCTTTAATAATAAATATAACAAAACTAACAAGTTTGATTCTTTAGTCTATATACTCCAACCACTATATACTACATACCACTCCATAGTGTAGTATATATTGTATTAAAAGTTTTTTAGATTTAATTAATAAATAAGTAATGGTTCAGAAGTTTGCATTAGGAGACAGGTGCTCTTTTGAAACTCATAAAGGAACAATTCGCTATATTGGAGAAGTCCCTCCAACGGTTGGTAAGATTTTGGCTAACATTTGATTTTCTTAAAAAGTTTTTACAGGTTTAATTACTTTTTTTATTTTTTCAGGGGATTGGTATGGAGTTGAATGGGATACTGCAAGAGGAAAACATGATGGGACTTATAATAGTGTTCAATATTTCAAATGCAAGTAAGCAATAATGTTTATCTACATATATGTTAAGTTAGAACAGTTTTTAAAGCAAAATAAATATGCTAGAAACACAAATTGTTTTATATTAGTTAAAACAATTTTTTTTTTTAATTCAGATTATTAATTTTTTCAATTTATTAATAGTTGAATAAAACAGGATAGAATTAAATAAAGGTTATAATAAAGTGACAGTATTTATTTATTTTCTCCTAAATATTAAATAAACGTTTTGTAGAAAATATTTAAATCATGTTGTAAAGGATCTTTTTATGAATAAGATACTGTAAAATTTTAATAGAAAGAATGCTTGGTAAAAAGTTAAAATTTAAAAAATGGAAATAAACTATAAGGGGTAATCAAATACATGTTTAGAAGAGTTAAAAATATTTTAATTTTGTCTAAACTGATTAATGAATCTCTATAAATTCTTTGTATAAGTTTTACAGGGTTATTCATTTTTATATACTCTTCTATTCATTTTTATATGCGTGTTTATTCATTCTTATATGTGTATTTATTCTTTCATATATATGTATTCATTTTTTTTATATGCTTATATGTTCATTCTTACATGCGTAGTTATTCATTCTTATATGCGTATTTATTTATTCTTATATGCTTATTTATTTTTATATTTTTAAAAAAGCACAGTTTTTTTTAAAATTATTTATAATTAATATTAATACACAAATATTTACCCTCTGGATGAAAGAGAAACAGCAATGCCAATTGAAAAACATGGAAAAATATTACAAAAGAGCACAATGAAAGGCTTAAGTATTTAGTTGAAAGAATGAAACTACAACAAGCATTTCCACTTCTCCTTGTTTATCTAAGCGCACAGTTCAAAATTTTGTCATTAAGTTAAACAGAGGATAATTTGACGACATGAGTGCATCAAAGTTGTTTTCTGATAAAAAATGAGTTTAAAGACCTATAAATGCTCATATAAAAATTTTTTTATTGAATAATTTGTACAAGAAAATAATTTTTGTACGGAAGAAGCAAATCTTTTTGCAGCAGGCTTCAACATGTCTCAGCCTACTATTTCAAGAAAACTCAAACATTCTGATTTATCAAGAAAGCGTGTTGTGCATGTGGTTATTTGCTAAGAGGTGCACCAGTAGTTTTACAGTCGTGTGCAAATCGAGTCATGGCAAGGATGATAGTTTGATTTATGCTGTTATAATAATGAGAGTGCTGGCTTATAAAATAAAAACTAGAGGCTGGAATACAGATTCATTTTGTACTTTCATTACTACAATGTTGGCACTAGCAATTAGAATGTAGATGTGGAAGCGCCGGTGCTTGTTATAGACAATTATAAATTCCACTGGAGTTATCTGTTAGACAAACACTAGTCTCTTATGGTATAGCTGTTAAGTATTTACACGCTATACACGCTACAGCTTAATCCAATAGGAGAATTTTTTTATTCTTTAAAGCATACTTACAAATAGGGAGAAAGTCTTCGAAATACAGATGGGGTAATCAGGAAACTTTAAAATATTATGGATGCTCCAGAGTTTAATTTAATTCCATTTTACAACCATATGCATAGTTACATAAATCCAGCGCTGGCTTGGCAACCATTTTTTAACAAATAGCTGTGGTAATAACCTAATTTATATTTTTAATATATCTATATAAAAACATAAAAGCCTATTTATTTTTTATTTAAAATTATATTAGATATTATAATGGTAGTTGACACACGTATAAGATATATTAGATATTATAATGGTATAAACATGCATATAAGAATGAATAAATTTGCATATATAAATGAATAAATACGCATATAAGAATGAATAAATATGCATATAAAAATGAATAGATACGCATATAAAAATAAATAACTCTGCAAATCAATTATTTTCAAATCTATTCTAATAAAGCATGTCTGGAAAAATGCTGGATTCATTTTTTATGGGAAATATTTAAAAATTCATCATCTTAGTTCTTAAATTTAACTTTAATGGCAATATCTTAATTCATTTTTAATTTCAGATTTAAATAGGACAATAAATACTAAAATGCTGAAATTATTTTTATTTTGGTATGCTTAAAAGTTAACACGGTTGAAGCAGTCCTGTATAAAAACTTCTTGAATAATTTTATTTCCCTCAATTTTATCTTAATTGGTTTTTGTGTTATATTTTGACACAATAAACATTGTTTATTTATATTTATTACATTTAATATTTGATATATATAGATATATTTTTTATTCACTTCCAACAAGGCTACAAGCAACCACTATTAGGTTGGGAATTACTAGGAAAAAAAAAATAGAGAGCAAGAGAAAAGAATAGAGAGTGTAATGTGTTTCAGGATTATAAATATATAAAAAGAATAGAGAGCAAGGTTGACAGAAGACTTTAAGAGTTGTAGATTTTATGAGTCAGGATAGTATAAAGATGGGAGAGAGTTCCAAAGGGTTGAAATGCGGGTAAAGAAACTAGGCGAATAAAAGTTTTTAGAGCATAGGCTCCTAAAAATTTTGTTAAAAAAGTTCAATTAATTAACAATGCACTACCCACAAGCTTTTGAAGCATTGTCAATAACAATAGTTCATCAGGAAATAAACTATTAAATGCACAATTTGGATAATCCAACAAAAGTGCTGACTATTTCAATGGGGGTATTGAAAACAACCAAATATTTTATATTTAAATATTAGTATTACAGGCCTTGTTTTAAATAAAAAAGTGCTTAATGCAATAGCTTAACGTGATTTTGATGTCATAAAATTATCTTTATTTTTTTTTATAGACGTTAAGTGTTTTAACTACCGCAATAAATAAATAACCGCTAACTAGTTCAATTTAACAACTAACTCAAATAACTATTTCTGAAACTTGTTTTTGAATAATTGTTTTTAATCGCTATTGAATAAAAAATAATAATGATTTTTTTTATTTTTTAAAATTTCTAGAGTAAACAAAAAATATTAACATTGATAAACACAAACCCATGTTAATTATTTAAGCAACAATTTTGTTTTGACTAGCAAAGAAAAATTTAGGTTTTTAAATATTTTTTAAACTTATCTTGCTTGGCGTTTCAACTTGCGTTTTATAAAAATATAAAAAAGTTTTGTCTGCTTTGAGCATATTTTTGATACATAATTTAGAACGCGTTCGCCAGGAATTTAATTCATAAATTTTTTATGTTATTGTAAAAATATTTTACTTTTTAAACAAATCACAAAAAAACAGAGCTATAGAGAAAAATCGTTTTTAACAATTAAATCTTTTTTTTTTAAAAATTTTAGGAAATTAAAAAAAAAAATTAAATTAAATATAAAAGCTTTAATTATGCAAACTCTTTTGTTAATTATTCTTAAAACAAAAAAACAAATACTTCTAACTTTAATCGTGCAAACTTAAAAAAATACTCAACTGAAATAAATTAAGTATATTTAATAATTTGAATTGTATCTGTTTATAATAAACGTTCGTAAAAATTTGTTTAAAAATTAAGTTCCTTAACTTATAAACAAACTCAAAAGTATTTTCATTCAACGTTTAATTACAACTCTTTTTTTTTTTCGTTTGTAAGCAATTTAATTTATAAAATAAAAAAAGAATAAATATGAGGTAATCTTTGTTAAGAACAAATTTAATTTATTTATTGAACTATATTTTTATTTTTAATTATGTATCAACTTAATTAAAATATAGTAATATGTTAAAACATTTTAACATGACTTGTGTTATTTATAAATTGTTGGGCAGTTGCCCTTACAGCACCATTCTGCCGCCCTAAGTAAAAACGCAGTAAACAACAAAAATGACATTCTGAGAAAAAGCCACTTTTAAATTTTGTGTGTATATATTTTTTTAACTTACGGCAAAATGAACTATGGGTTTGATGACTTCGGAATATACCACAATATTTTTATATAGAGCGTTATTACACAGAAAACGATGTTAAAACGTTTGGTGCAATAATCTAGATTTTTCAATTTTTGCGATTACTGCGTTTTTTCTTAGGACGGCAGCATTGTTTTTGGATAATATTTTATTTTGATGAAGATCACATAACTTACATTTGATTTTAATACCGTAAGTCTTCTCTTTTTCTGTGATCATCGCATCGGCAAAGCATCAGCAATGTCCCAAGATTTAAAAGTTTTTAAAGTAAATCTTTTGTCCTTCAAAATACAATCCATATTCGAACTTAAAACAATTTAGAGAGAATAGAAATATACAAGGTTTTTATATACTAGTTTGTCTTGTTTTATAAAGAAAAATATATATTCATTAGTTAAAAATAGAGACTGTCATTAAACTAAAGCGTGCCTTAGTATTTATTTAACGGAATCTGTAATGTGCGCGTGCATAATGAAACCTCCGTTATATAAATATATTCAACGTAATATTAGTGTCATCAGCGGATGTTATAGTCTACTCGTGATTTCTTTACCTTATAATATAACTTGATTTATGAAAAAAACTTATTGAATCGCACGCAGAAGAAATTTAACAAATTGTCTTCATTCAAATATTGCGAGTAACAGGTAATTTTTTTTTCTGTGCCGACCCCCTCCCCCTGCATAACTTAAAGGTAAAGGTATACCTTTAACTAATAAGAAAAGCAAAGACATTTTTTTTAATATCTCGAAAAAATGTCTTGATATTTTTGTTATCATGATAACAAAAATGTTAAGACATTTTTTGAGATATTAAAAAAAAAGTCAATCCTTAATTACAAATTTTTTTGCAAATTTTTTTTATTATAAATTCAGTAAAAAATTCTTAAAAAATCTATATTACAAAAGACATTTATATTCTGTATTAATAAATATGGAATATAGATTTTTTAAAAGTTTTTTACTGAAAAATTAAAAAAATTACTACTTTTTATTAAAAACATTGCAAAAAATTTGTAGTTAAGGATTGACAAACAATTTTTCATGTTGCTAAATATTTGGATAAAAAGTTTAGCGTCAAATTAATTGCTATAAAAAGGAAAGATATATTGCTTTTAGT